GAGTTAGAAATTATTTATATCTTTCATATTTAGACTTATATAAATTCTAGAAAGACATTTTTTCTACGGGAAGCGCGGTCGAAATTTTCTTAGTTTAGAGGAGTTAAATTATATTTCGACAGGTGGCGATTCTGRCGACCCACCCTGAATRAGGGAGGTTCTGCCATTAGTCTACTTTTGTTTTGGGCAMTGRCTTAGAGGTAGGCTTGGACTTAGTTGGTAGATAGCTTGAGTAGGAATGTGCTATGGAGGTTTATCCCYCATATGCTGATGATKTAGCGTGGGCATTTGACCTATCTTGTGTTACAGGTCCTTTGGGGTGTCTGATTCAAGATCAGGAATAGATTCAGCCTGATCCCTTGAGGATCATCTTCTGTTATCACAGATAACASGTCGGTTGCMGATTCGTCGGTSTACGACTCAATTTYAGYTCTCCCTCCACACTCAACCTAAAAGGCTTTAGCCCTGGTGATTTCGTTGTTTCATGAAGGTTTCACCCGGACTTTTATTAAATGGCTATTTAACAAAGGTGCTGAGTATTTAATTAAGGTTGGTTGGACAKGAGRTTTGGGGYTTGCATGGCTAAAGCGAGGGGTATGAGTGTCGAAGGTGGTTGGGGTTGACTYYGTGTRGTRTGTGGSCTKTTGATTTGGTTTGTTGATGTGATTGCAGGTATGTGCTRTGAATCAKATTCTGRATTTGGTTGCCTGCGATCACAMATATACGTATTATTGTGAGAGAYCMYAGTGAGACCRTGAAAAGTGATCGTCACATACTTAACCCTTATATACGTATACATAGGTATACTTGGGATAAGTGTTTGCATGGGTTGAAGGGCCCCCATATTAAAGCCCTACTCAGAAACTGAGACCGAGGGGCTTAGGGGAGGGCTCTCCTTCTATATTTGTTTCTTGCTTTTTGATGATTTTCTTAGTCGGACGTTTGGTCCTGGGCCGGGATTCGAGGTCCTTGTCCAAGACATCCCAAGCCCTAGGCTCCGCAGGGAAGGGGTTTTCCCTCGCACAGAGCCTATTTGATTTGCCTACCGAGACACTCAGGCCGAGAGCCGGACGTGCCGCGGCGACTGCACGGGTATTCCTTCAGCCGTGCAATGTCATGAAGGGTTAGACCCTCACGACACTTCGAGTCTAACACTTGAGTGTCATAAGCGGTACTCGGATCCACAAGGGGCCGCTTGATTATCGGCACTACACAGTACGCCATTATTGCGACTGCTTGCGTACGCTTGCATTGCGAGTCGATATGAGTAGGCCCTGCGTTCGAGCGGTTTTATCCTAAGTCTCGCACACGACACACATTCGATTTCGCGTCGAAAAGTTATGGGACGGCTACTGAGGGGCTAGGAGCGTTGTCGCGTTGTTTATGTTGTGTGATTTCGTACGTATGCGTGTGTATGTTTTATTTTTGTGTTCGTAAAGTGGTGTGCGCGTGGTGTGTGGGATGCGTCCTAGTCGACCGACGACGGGCCGCGCTTGGGACTTCAGCCCCCCAAGATGTCGGTTCGCGTGCGGGTCCGATAGAGGCGTATTACCGCGCGTACCCCCATGCTACAACGAACGAGAAACGCCCTCGGCTGGTCCACCTCTGTGATTGCAACTGATTAGCTTTCGTACTGTGGACTGGTAGCTCGGCGGGGATACGCCCACTGAAGGGAGGTGACAGCTCCCGTAAGGTGTAGGTAAGTCGTGCCTCGCGTAGGCCCTATCCTGTCGTAGGGGCTCGCGAGAAGTATGGCTGGCGCACTCGGCCGGAGCGACTTAAGGAAGCTCTACATGTATTGTCTGCAGCGAAGGATTTAAATCTACTCCTGCGTGACGCGGTCGGGAGGGTCCCGCGCTGCCCTCATGTGGTGCCGGACCGATGCGCTCGACAACGACTAGCTCGCCCATCCGTACATATGCAGATTGCAGTACTGGACGAACCATTAGTTTCTGCTTTGGCGTGATTTAGGTGGTTGATTCCTGATATGTGATATATTGATGTGTTGGGATAGATTTGCGCGCTTTGAGCTTCTGTGTATGTTTGGGTGTATTCCGAAGTACTCGTATGTTCAAGACATGGGTTACTCAGTAGAGTGAGGCGTGAGAGTTGGATACCTATGTCGTTTTTGAGAGAGGCGTTTTATTGTGGCGTACATATTGAGTTGAGACCCTATGAGGCTTGGTTTTTGTGACGATCACTATCACTATCACTTGTGTGGCTTTATCCTGATGAATGTTGGCTTGTGTGAAGGATGTGCGAATGTGTGACATGTGAAGCTGTCTACTCCTCGGTATGCTCGTGTGCCCTGCCCACGGACAGCTGATAGGGCAGAGTATAAGGGGAGGAAGCGCAGCCTGTTTGTGAAAAAGTGCGAGGATTTTTTAGGAGATTTATGAGTCATTGAGACTCGAATGCTTCACCATGCCGGTCGTTGATTGCTTAAGTTGTGACGAGGACCCATAAGATGGTCTCTCAGTGATGTTTGTTTTATGATGAGACTCCCTTTATTCTTGGAGAAGGGGATGTTGTGTGTTATGATGAGACCCCCTCGAGTTTTTGAGGAGGGGGAGTTTGGTTTTATGGCGAGACCCCTCGTGATTTTTGGAAGAGAGGTTGTTTTGTTTTATGATGAGAGCCCCTTGGATTTTTGGAAAAGTGGATGTTTTTGTTGTTGGAAGACTCACCTTCAAAGGTGAGTAAACTGAGTTATGGCATGGCGAGTTGTTTGATAGGTGATAAAGTTTGACGAAAAGGGTCACTTTTGTTTGGAATATTTGAGAAAGTCGCAATGAGTGCAGGGCGAGAGACGTCTCAGGACGGGTGGCTGATGGCTCTGATCAAGTCAGGGGTCACGGCCTGGTGGACCTAGCGGTGTTTTTGTTTGTGAGCGTGCGAAGGATGCCATGCCTATTGTGGAAGGGCTGGTAAATGTCTTCGGATCCCTGCATATCGCGCAGTGGGCCTGTGATTTTGTTTTGCAACGCCCCGTCTAACCACTTGTGCTAGTTGTGGAACATATTGAAGAAAGGCCAAAAGAAGTTAGTATCTCTAGGGCGTAACCCCATTGGATGGCTGCTAGTCGGCGCAACCTAGCTGCGGATCCGCGGGGTAAGAGTTTAAGAGGGGTTGCCCGCCCCAGTGAAATTACTCCGCGGGGTGACAGCTCCCGTAAGGTGACAGCTCTCGTAAGGTGTATGTAAGTCGTGCCTCGCGTAGGCCCTATCCTGTCGTAGGGGCTCGCGAGAGGTATGGTTGGCGCACTCGGCCGGAGCGGCTTGTGAAAGCTCCATGTATATTGCGACGAAGGGTTTTAAACCAACTTCTGCGTGACGCAGCCGGGAGGGTCCCGCGCTGCCCTGATGCGATGCCGGACCGATGCGCTCGACAAGTGGCGCCGTTTCCGGGGATAGTGGAAAGCCTACCGTTGTCCCTGGTGGAACGACATCCGGGTATGAGAAGTGAATAAGAAAAGGCATAAAGGAGTGATGAGAAGGTAATGAAGGAATATATGAATGACTAAGTATAGGTGAGGAAAATTTACCTACCCAGGTAGAGAAAGTGTGAGGGACGATCGTGTTAACATTTGGGTAAAGTAAGTACTAAGGGTTAGGTAGGACGGACGGAATAGACCGGTCAAGGTATAATGTTGAATAAGGGAATGTGCTTGTTTTTTTCTCTTATCAGGAAGCTTGAAAATAAGAGGCTGTCAAGATGCCTGAAACTGGCGGCGCATCTAGTGCACCCAAGAAGGGCCTGACACTCGATGACCTCATCACGGCCATCGACCGGCATGAAAGGAATCCGAGCAATATCCCAAAGGTCGATACTTTCCATTTTTGTGGGGAAAGAGTCTCGGAATGGCTGGAGCGGGTGGAACAAGCTTTGGTCGGGTGGTCGGACATTGTGAAGTTTCAACGCATCCTTCAGTATGTCCTCCACAGCTACCTCCAAGAGGTGAAGAAAGTCATAGATGCAGCCCAAGGTAGCTAGGAGAGGTTCAAGGAGGGGATGCAGAGGAAATACCGCCTGGGAGACGGGTTGTTGACTTCCGCGGACCTTGAGGCGATGAACAAAGAGGATTTTACGACGATAAGGGTCTTTGTTCAAGAATTTAAGAAGAGTGCGCGGAAGGTCCCTGGGATTTCAGAGGAAGCACAATGAGCCATCTTCCTGGGGCTACTCACGGCATCAGAGGCTGTCGAGTTGACGAGACATGGAGGAGGTAGCACCAAGCTCATATGAGCCACCATTTATAGAGGGGTGGAAGTGGGATGTTTGTACCAGGTCGAGCAACGTCCGGTACGCCTGCAAAGGCCGAAGAGAAAGGAAAGAGATGCGACCGCTTCTGGGACCCCGGGGGTAACAAGGATTGTTACAGACGTATTGGCACAGCTAGGGTATGCGACAGAGCCGGTGGTGCAAAGGAGGGTGGTGACGGCTGTCAAAGTGAAAGGAAAGGAGTCGGTGATAGAGGAGGTTGTTCAAGAGGAGCTCTGGGAAGAGGAAGAGCCGGTGCCGCAGCACCTGACGAAGGTCCAGCGCAAAGTGCGTAATTTGGCGCAGGGTGGACAGGGATCAGGAAAAGCGCAGGCGCCTCAGACCCATGCAACAGCCCCTTTAAATGTGGCGGCTCCATCATCTAGTACGGGCCCCTCGCAAGGTGGGGCGCCCTCCTACGGACAGTGGCCCTGGCCGGTGATCAATGCAATTGTGCCATGGGAAAACCCGCCGCCAGTAACCGGACCGCAAACAAGTATGCCACCGCCCAGGACCAGCCTGTGGCCCCGCCGCCGTCACCTGCCCCTAATTCACAGGGCAGTGTGGCAGGAGGTGGGAACCAGGGGCAAGACAATCAAGGCAACGGAGGGAGGGGTGGAGGAAGGGGGCGAGGCAGGAATGGCGGCGGAAGAGGGAGCCAATGGAATGGTCAAGGTCAGGGGTACCAAGACCAAGGGAATCAAGGCTAGGGGTACCAAGGCCAAGGGAGTCAAGGCCAGGGGTACCAAGGCCAGGGGTACCAAGGCCAGGGGTATCAAGGCCAGGGGGATCAGGGAAGTCAGGGATATGGAAGACCCCGTTTTGATTGGAGGACGGTCATCTGTCAACATTGTGACCAACAAGGCCACACTATAAGGTTCTGTAATATAAGATGGGAAGATGAGAGGAGCGGGCTGATTTCCTCCACTATGGATGGGAATATCTACGATCAGTTTAGGGAGGTCATTGACAGAAGGCTTGGAGGGGTGAGGGTGGAAGCCCAGCGAAAGGCGGCAGCTGGGCCACCACCCCCTGCCATGTTCAGGCTATGGCAAGAAAAGGAGGAACCACCGTTTGGGGTGGAGGAAGTGGAGAGCGATGAGGAAATGGCTCAAGGGCTACGAGGAGGAAGTAAGACGGAAGAGTCCATAATCATCGAGTCAGACGACAAGGATGAGGAGGAAAGAATGGAGCCTCCGTCCGTCTTATTTGGGAAGATGGAGAACCTGCTGGATAAGATGGGGAGGTACCAACAGAAGTTGGTGGGCCCCTGTGAGGAAGTGAAGGGATGGAAGTCTAACATCCCCAAACTGTTCCTCTATGACTCCAGCCCGGAGTCAGCACCTAGGCGACCCGGAGTAAATGTGGTGGGGTCGTGCCCACAATCGGGGATGAGGGGAAGACCCCTCACTCCGCAGGCCCGGCTGGCACAGGCAGCGCGAACGAGGAATCAAGCCAAGGCCAGTGCCAGCCAAGAGCCTCCGAGGAGAGAACCCGAATCAGGGAGAAGGAAAGAGGCTGTGGAAGTAGAGGACTACGATGATGAAGAGGAAGAGGACGAGAAGTTGCGTAGAGAGGAGGATCAGAGAGCGGAGCAGCGGGCAAGGAAAAAGGAAACCAGGGGAGAGGTCATCCGGTCATACATGACGGACCACCCAAAAAGAAGAAATACACGGTTCGGTTGGAAGAGGGATTTGACGTAGAGAGAGTAATTGACAGGCTGCTGGAAGGGCATAATGACCTCATGACCCTGAAGGAAATCCTAGCGTCATCCCCGCGACTCCGCGATGAACTGAAGGGGAAATTGTCGCGGCGCCTGGTACCCAATGTCCATCTGGGTACTCTTGCCCAAGGAGGCTGAGTGGGCAGAGTCGAGGACGAAAATGGATTGGAAGTGTGTAGCCTGCGACACGGTGGATTTGGTGGTGAAGGGCTCCAAGTGTGCGGCAATGGTGGACACCGGGGCCGAAATGAACATCATTCGGGAGGCGGACGCAATCAGATTCGGGCTGGATATAGACCGTTCTGACTGCGGTATTCTGCACGGAGCCAGCTGCAAGGCCGTTTTTTGTGGGACAGCCTCGAATGTGCTCATCGAGGTTGGAAAGGTGAAGGTCAGGGCATGCTTCTTCATAATGCCGGACGTGGACCATGGAATCCTCCTAGGGAAGTCATTCCTAAGCAGGACGGAGACCGTGATGTTCAACAAACATGACGGGACTCTAATTTTTCTCTTATGCGATCCAACCTGCGTGAATTACAAAATAATTACCTGCAGGAACACCGGGCCAAGGAGTATAAGGAACCGACCCAATCCAGGATCATTCACGATCGAGGAGTCGGAAGCGGAGCGTCGGAGGCTCCGGCCAGAGCCCGAAGCAGGAAAGAGTGTGGAAGCATTTTCCCTCAGCCTGTCAGATGTTGGGAAGGCCATGGACCTGGTGGCCGCGCATGAGATGGCAGATCCGGATGCCATTCTGACCTTGAGGGAGCAAGTTCTGGAATGCCCCGAGGCAGGAAGGTTGGAGTTGGTATATCGGCTCCCAGGCAGCGGAGGGCACTCCGCATCAGCACAAACACAATCTGTGAGTCGGCCTTTTTTAGGGGACGGCTCAAGCAGGGTTCCCAAAGGCGGTACAAGACGGTAGACAAGAAGTGCCGCCCGGTTCCCGTTCTCGTTACAGAGGACGAGGAAGCATATTACGAGAGGGAACGAGGGTTGATACGGCGAATGAGGGAGAGTGCTCTAGCAGGGCTATGTCGTATCAACGAAGGGAACGAGGGGGAGTTTATTATAGGGGAACCCGACTTCCTACTGCCTCAAGAGCGAACATTGATGGTGGAATTAATGAAGAGGAGGCATCGCGCCTATGCGTTTAACGACGAGGAGCGTGGCAGACTGGATGTGGACAAGATACCTACGATCCGCATGTACACCGTGTCACACGAGCCTTGGAACATGAGAGGGGCGCGATATCCTAACCCTGACGAGGAAAAGAAGGTGGTGGACTACTTCGATGGCAAGATAAGTACACACGCCGCCGGCTATTTTAGAAGATCGTATGCGTCCCCGTGGTTTTGCTTCATTAAGCCTAACGGGCACTGCGATGGGTGCAAGATCTGCAGAGGTTAAATACGGTGACCGTGCGAGATGCTGGAGGACTGTCAAATGCGGATGCTTTGTCGGAATCCTGTGCTGGAAGACCTATAATTTCGCTTATAGACCTTTACTCAGGATACAATTAGTTTCAGGTCTACCCGTCGGATAGGCCGGTGACGACTATACATACGCCGCGAGGATTAATCCACATGAACGTGGCCCCTCAAGGGTGGACCAATGCGGTAGCAATGGTCCAACGGGCCATGATTCGGGTTATGCAGTCAGTCAGCCCCCATATTACACAGCCACACATCGACGATTTGGCGGTGAAGGGGCCGGCAGTGAAGGAGAGCGATGAAGTCTCACCAGGGATAAGGCGCTTTGTTTGGGAGCATATCCAGGACCTCGAAAAAGTCCTAAGCATGCTCGAGGAGCATAACCTCACGGCGAGCGGGGCCAAATCCAGACACTGCATGAGGGAAGCGACTATTTTGGGGTTCGTGTGCAGCGAGAAGGGTCGAAGGCCGGATGTGAAGAAGACGGACAAGATTACTGAGTGGCCAGTTCCGTTCCACTCACTAACTGATGTCAGAAGCTTCTTTGGTACGTGTGGATTTTGGAGAGCCTTCGTCAAGAATTTTGCCGCTAAGAATGAACATCTGAGGAAGTTAGTTCGTCAGGACCAGGAATGGGTTTGGGGTGAAAAACAAGAAGAGGTGGTAGGCAGAATGAAGGAAGAATTTCGAGAAGGAGGGTTGGTGTTACGAGCGTCAGATTATGACGCCACATAGACTCGACCCTTCATTGTCGAAACAGATCCGGGGCCGACTGCTTTAGGGGGAGTTCTAATTCAGGCAGAAATGGAAGGAAAGGAAAGGCCCTTGCGATTTGAGAGTCGGACTCTCTGTACGACGGAGAGAAACTACTCTCAGTTCAAGAGGGAGACCCTTGCTGTCCTCCATTGTCTGCGAATCTTCCGGAACTACATCTTCGGCAGAAGGTTTATTTTGAGAGTGGATCCGACCTCCCTGGCCTACTCTCTAAGGAATTACGTTCCATCGGATCCGACGGTTGCCAGATGGTTGACGTACATCAGGATGTTTAATTTCGAATTGGAACGCATTCCTGGTAGTAAGAACCGGGCGGATGGGCTGAGTCGGATCAACTGGGATAAACAGGAATGGGAGGCGGTGGAGAATACACCCCCAGTTGATGAATTTCTAGATCAGGAAGAAGATGTTCATCTCCATATAAATAAGTGGTCCCCGCAAGCTCCCAGCTGTGTAGGCTATCCTATTTGGCAAACGCCAAGTGGGTATGAACGGAGGGATGAGCTAGTCCTTAATCCCTTTGAGGAAGAGGATCCCTGGGGTGGTAAGGATGTTCAGTGGATGATGGAGCTAGCGCTGGCCAGATCGCATAGCCTGGTGGAGGATATGAGGACGATTGAGGAAGGACCTGGCCAGGTAGAACGGCATGAGGACCTGATGGGAGGAATGTATCTCCTCGTTAATACGTTATTGCAGGAAAACCTAGACCAGTCAGGCTCGTTGAACCCGGCAGGGAATGTGGACGAAGTGCCAGAGAGTCAGGACGACGAGTTCGAGGAAGGGGAAATTAAGGAGGCTTTTCGTGCAGAGGAGTATGACAGGATCTACCTAGAGCTGGGGCTTCTTCTGTCATGTGAAATGCGGCTAAGGGATGCAAGCGATAGGGCTCAAAGGATCTTGCAGCGCTACTTAGTGCGAGACGGCCAGCTTTTCGTGAGAAGAGAAGTGGGGAATCCCAGGAGAGTCGTCTGCGGTAGAAATCGTCAGATCGACATCGTGAAGGAATCGTCAGATCGACGTCGTAGCAGCGCTTCACGATGTCGATCTGACAATTCCTACCGCAGACCACTCTCCTGGAATTCCCCACTTCTCTTCTCACGAAAAGGTGGCCGTCTCGGGCATCGAGGGGTACAAGCCACGTATGCCAAGACAAGTGAGTTGTACTACTGGATGGGATGATGGATATGGTCGGGAAGTTCTGCCGATTTTGCGTATCTTGCCAGGAAAGATCTCATTTAAGGCAAGGAGAGCCGCTGCATCCAAGGCTAGAGCGAGAGGTGGGGGCTGTAGTGCATCTCGATCTACTTTTTATGCCGCTTGGGGACGAGGGCTATAACTATATTTTCGATTCGCGCGATAACCTGTCTGGCTTCGTAGACGGGCGTGCTATTCGCACAAAGACCGGGTCAGGCACGGTGAGCTGCATGGAGGAGTATTACCTACGTTATCCTTTCGTCAGGGAATTCGTAATTGACAGGGGATCGGAGTTTACTTGCCAGGAAGTGCAAGAACTTTTATCAAGGTATGGTGTGGCAGCCAACTACACCACGACCGCGCACCCCCAGGCAAATGCTCCTGTGGAGAGAGGACATAGTACCATTACGAGTCTCCTGGCTAAGTGGACCGAAGGTAGGCTTAATCAATGGCCAAGATACCTAAGGGCGACTTTCTTTGTCGAGAATATTACAGTAAAAAGATCCACCAAGTACGCACCGGCGACGTTGTGGTACGGAAGGTACGCCACCTTCCCGATCGAAAACTTTCTTAAGACATGGAGGCGCCAGGATCTGGAAGTTAACCTGTCATTTGAAGAGTTGCTCGATATTCGGGCGCGGCAGGTAGGGGCGATAGAAGAAAGGATCCAGGAGGCGTCTGATCAGGTGGCGAGGAGCCGTATGGATGATAAGGCTCGATGGGATCAGTCTGCGCGGGTGAGGAAGGTACTATTGGCAATGGGAGATGTTGTGCTTCTCTACGATTCATCACTGGAGAAGCAGTGGTCCTGGAAGCTCGATAAGAGGTGGCTAGGTCCCTACCGAATCGTACCGGTCGGAGACTTCGGGGCGTACCAGATTGAGGAGCTAAATGGGACTGAGTGCAAGGATTGGGTATCTGGAACGCGACTGAAGAAATTTGTGGCGAGAGAAGAGGTAAGAGAGACGACCTGACTGCCTTTAGAATAGAAGTAGCAGGGTGTGTAGGTTAGGTAGGATGCATGCTGTATGAGTGTGGTCTGGTCTGAGTTTGCTTGATTATCACATGTTTGCTTACCCCAATGTGTGCCTGTTGTCTCCTTCGCCTGTTGTGCAGGTCTGACTTTTTGAAGACAGCCATGCCAAGAGGAGGGAGGGGGACACGGCCGCCTCAGAGGCTGTTGGGAACATCAGGAGGGTATGAGCGACATGAGCCTCGTCATCGAGAGAGTACTCCGGTATACGATGATGGGGACATCGAGCTATTCCTGGACAGCTTTTGGGATCATGCGAGGCGTATGGGCTGGACCGTGGCCCAGGCAATGGAGAGACTAAGGGGAGTCGGCAGATTCGAGGAGCCCGTCGCACGGATCCGTAGAGAGACGACGACGAGATCAGAGGTGGAGTGCAGGATGCAGGAGCTGCGACCCTCGCCTGTGGGACCAGATGGCAGGCCGATCCGTCTAGAGATCGAAAATGTGGCAGACTTCATCCCTGCTTTCGAGTGGTTCATGCAGGGGCAGGGTATACCGAGAGATGAGTGGGCGAGGACGTTACCCCTCTGGACCAGAAAGGCGGAGAGGGCACTGGCTACGCAGGTCAGGGACATGGCCCGAGACTGGGAGAGCTGCAGGGCGCATCTGAGAGAGGCCTTTCGACGACCAAAGCCCCCTCATCCCAGAGTTGAGAGGCGTCAGAGGAGTCAGAGGCAGAGGGGCCCTGAGCCCAGGGAGGCGAGACCGTCTCGAGGAGGACGGAAGGCCCTAGCCAGGAGAGAGGAGGAGCCGGAGCAGGAGTCAGAGGTTGAGGAGCGAGGGGCATACCCTGAGTGTGGGTTGAGACCAGTGGAGTTCCCTCGTTTTACTGAGGGTGGATTGAGGAGGTTGCCAACACACACACAGGAGGAGCCGCCAGTGTCTGAGGGGCCTTTGAGGGAGTTGGAGACGCTTCTAGATATTTCTCGGTGGAGGGCGTCGCCGCAGGGTGAGGAGCATGGAAAGCAGGCAGAGGAGGTGCCACGGGAGGAGGTCCAGGGTACTTAGCGAGAGAGAGGGCTGGGCGGTGAGGGGAGACGAGCAGGGAAGGAAGTAATAGAGGTTGGAGAGGACACGACCCCTCAGACGCCGGCGGTGGGCTTGAGACTCAGGGATGCACCAGGAAGCACTCGCAAGGCGGAGGAGAGGTTGTAGAGAGAGGAGATCCCATTTCCTTCATAAAAAAAGGCTCCTTCGCCAGAGGGGAGAGCAGGAAGGAGAAGAGAAAGGGCAGCTGTAAGGAGGGAAGCCTTGACCCTGATTGATAGGCACCTAGCAGCTTATGCCCTGGAGCACCCAGACCTGGAGGAGCCAGCACCTGCAGAGCCACGCCAGGAGCCGTGCCAGCCCGAGAAGGAGATGGAAGCAGAGATCCCAAAGAGGGTCGACCTCCGCACGAGGGAAAGGGCTCCAGCTGGAGAGACGGCTGAAGAAAAGAGGGCGAGAAGAACCACGTGGATAGATGAGATATCGCAAGAGAGGCAGAGGTTGGAGGCAGCGGGGGAGCTTCCGGAGCAGCAGCAGGAGAGGCAGAGATCGGAGGCAGCAAGAGCACTCCCAGGTCAGCCACCCAGCGCGCCAGCTAGGGCCCCGGAGATCCCTGAGATGTGGAGGGACTTTTGGGAGCGAAGAGGAGAGGAGCTTCCCTCGCCAGTCAGAGTCGGGTTTGGGGTGGCCAGGAAGGCAGAAGAGAGGTTAGATAGCAAAATCAAGTTCCTGCCCAAGACAACTTTTGGCCGGCACTTGTTATTGGAGAGCGATCTGGCAAAGAGGAAGATGAAGGAAGCAAGCCATGGAGTACGCCTGGAGGCTATAAAGGTGGAAATCCAGGAACTCAGGGCATTGGTGGCCAGCCAGGCAGCTATCATCGAGAGCCTGAGGCAGCAAACCCAAGGAAAGGTGGACAGGCCAGAGAGCAGCCGGCAGGGAGAGCAGAGGCAGCCAGGACAGGGATTGCCAGGACAGCCATCTACGGTAGAGCCTCGCCAGGAGCCACCTATGGGGAGGGTTATCCTGGAGCCAGAGGAGGCGAGAGCACAGAGACAGGCGGAGAGAGAGGCATTCGAGTTCAGAGCTCCTACCGAGTTCGCGACACTGCCAGTGGCGGCGGCAGGCCCAGTCGTACCTTTGGCAGTAGAGGAGGGGCTGCCACCATCTAACAGTGAGCCGGCTCAGGGCTCAGCAGAGGGGTCCATGGGCGTGCTCCTTGAGGCGGTGCATACTATGCAGGAGGAGGTGAGTTTGTTTTCACCTGAGCAGAGGATAAAGGAGCCTCTTGAGAGAGAGATAGGGATTGAGGCAGAGGGTGTCATCGAGAGCGGGCTCTAGAGGATGGGCACGCCTGAGTATGGGTCAGAGGAGATTGAGGAACAGCCTATGGCAGTGCCAGGAGAGACACTCGAGAGGAGACCTCAGAGGTTGGACACGCTTGAGTACGTCCAAGTGACACAGGATTTGAGGAGCAGACTAGGATCTTGGGCTACTGGATCTGGATCTGGAGGACTGGTTTCTGGGGTAAAACAGCAAGAGGTCATTAGTACCGCAACTCCTCGATTAGAGCAGCAGGGGGTTGTCAGTACCTTGGTGGGATCTCCTTCATCGCCACCTCCTCAGCCCAAGAAGAAGAAGTTCAAGAGGAAGGTTGATCAGTTATGCTTCTATTGCAAGAGGGGCGTGCATCTGGCTTAGGACTGTCTCGAGTCTCTGAGGATAAGGCAGAAGGAAAGGTCTCAGAGGCAGGGGATAAAATGTATGATAGGCAGGGTAGGATAGTAGAGAAGTCCGCAGATGGACTTAGGGCTCAGTTATATAGGCAACACCAGGTAGGTCCGGTTTGTCTATATAAGTGGGCGAGTATCTTGTGAGGCATCAATTTAGATTCTGTGTGATACCCTCTTAGACCTAGAGGGTTTTTATGAGGATTGTTGCTAGTCTAGATCTGAACTCTAGTGTTCCTACTGAGCTGGGATCTTGAGGATCAGGGTAATCTAAATGAGGCATGTACATATTTAGGTGGCCTACGCCCTGGCTTTTGAGAGATAGATCTGACATGTATTCTAGGGGTAGTTGTTAGTGTGGGTTTGGTGTGGCTTGAGCTGAGTGAGTTATGATTTCGAGACATTTTTTCTGTGTGAGACATTTTATTTCCCTGATTGTATATCATGATGAGGTTTCTTTCAGGGACCATTCTTATATGTGATGATCACTTGTCTCTCTCACATGTGTGGTTGTACTCTGATGTATAATGAGTTTGTGTGGACAATGTGTGAAAATTTTTTTATGTATCTTGGGTATTGTGAATATGATTGTAAGTAAAACTTTCTACTCCTCGGTATACTTGTGCGACTTGCACACGGGCAGCTGATAGGGCGGAGTATAAGGGGTGGAAGTGCAGTCCGTCTATGAAGGGTTGTGAGGATTTTGAAGATTTATGAACCCAGGAGGCTCAAAATGCTTACCATGTTGATTATTGAATGCCTAAGTTGTGATGAGGACCCATAAGATGCTCTCTCAGTGATTTTGTTTATGATAAGCCCCCTTGGATTTTGGAGAAGGGGATGCTTTTGTGACAATGTGTGTTATGATAAGACCCCTCGTGATTTTTGGAAGAGGGAGTGTTTTGTTCTGTAGCGAGACCCCTCGTGATTTTTGGAAGAGGGGGTGTTTTGTTTTATGATGAGAGCCCTTTGGGTTTGTGGAAAAGGGGATGTTCTTGTTGTTGGAAGACTCACCTTCAAAGGTGAGTAATCTGATTTATGGCATGACGAGTTGTCTGATGAGCGATAAAGTCTGACGAAAAAGGCCACTTTTGCTTGAAATGTTCGAGAAAGTCGCAATGAGTGCAGGGTGAGAGATGTCTCACGATGGGTGGCTGCTGGCTCTGATTAAGTCAGGGGTCACGACCTGGTGGACCTAGCGGTGATTTTGTTTGTGAGCATGCGAAGGATGTCATGCCTATTGTGGAAGGACTGGTAAATGTCTTCGGACCCTTGCGTATCGCGCAGTGGGCCAGTGATTTTGTTTTGCGACGCCCTCGTCTAACCACCGGTGCTAATTCCGAGACATATTGAAGAAAGGTCAAGCTAACGGAAAAGAAGTTAGTACCTCCAGGGCATAACCCCATTGGATGACTGCTAGCCAGCGCAACCTGGCTGCGGGACCGCGTAGGTAAGAGTTTAAGGGGGGGGGTTGCCCGCCCCAGTGAAATTACTCCGCGGGATAGTGATGATTGAGAATTTTTGGAGGAATCTTGATTAGATGTTTATCAGGAGAAAACCTATCGTTGCGTAACCAACGAGTGGTACTACCGTTAAATAACAATGCGGTGGGCCGTAGTCCTGGCCCGATCAGCCAGGCTATGGTGGGCCAAGGTGGAGACCTAGCCTTTCAGTACTAGGCTGCAGAAAGAGCTCAGTGGATATTGAGTATACATATATACTTATGTGTATTTGATTGCAAGAGATTTTGAGAAAGAAGGTGAGAGCGCCTTCAAAAGATTTCAATTAAGGTCCGCGTCCCTAGTTTTTGTCAGGACTAGGGACACCCAACAAGAAGCCGAAGCTTGTTTAGAACCAGGGAGAGGACGATTGGGAAGGTCTTTGGAGCTTATGCGGTCAGCGTCCTAATTTCTAGGCGATAAGAGGCCCAGGTTAGAAACCTGGCAGCATATAGTTGAGAAGGCATGGTTTGATGGAGGCCCCTACCCTGTGTTTGTCGGCTAATCAGATTGGCTCCATTCTCGTCAGCATCTGGAGTGTGGATGAATTTATAGCCTTTTGATTTGGCAAAGCGACGGGGACGTCGCATAATATGGACCGGTAAGCTGTCGGTGCGAATACCTTTACAAGGGTATCCGCCCTGGGTTTTTGCAAGTAACAGAAAATTGTTTGGTTTAAGGTTTAAACATACCGCGCTAAGCGCGGCTGCGTCTGTAATTGCGTTGACTGGGTAGTTGACCATAATAGTGAATGCGTGGGCGTGCAGGTTTAAGGCGCGCGTGATTCTTTTCTGTTGTTGATCGTAAAGTCATCCCGGACCTCGGTAGTTTTTGCTTGGTGATATTATTATTATTTATTTATTTTTAATTAAGCAGAAATTAAGGATATTTTCTTTTGATTGGTACTTTTGACCTAGTCGAGCGCGCGTGCGGAGGACGACCCCCACGACGGCATCGGCAATAACGGCACGATTCTCGTGTGGTGAGCAGGTTGTCGTACGATGGCGCGCTAGGCAATTATGGCATGGTATAAGCAAGCCGGTGCGGACACTGGGTGCGGCGCAGCCATTTTGTTGGCACAAAACGCCGCGCCGCACTACCTTATACGGTACTCTGCAGGCGCAGGTCTCATGCTTGGGCTTAGCCCTATAGGTTATGACATTAGACTGACACAACGAAGGTTCGGGGATCGAGGTCGGCGAGCGCCGACGCAGCGGCAGCGGACGTCGGCGTGGCAACTCTAGTCGAGCGGCGTGGAGGGGACYGAGGGGTYGAGGGCCCGAMGAGGCTACCCCCCCTCCRTTTTTGTTTACAMGCACAGCGGAGGGGGWCGATCCGTARGGCTCCCCGTTAATTTTYYCATTTTGCGTSTACTACTTTTACCTTTTTCTCCTMGTTTTATTTTCGTTTACTCGCGTCCCGTCTTAGGGCRCGATATTGGGCCTAATRTCGGGCCACGGGAASTAGGTTGCATTCGCAGGGAYGCCTGAAGTGYTGTTGMAAACTGTCCGCGCGGGCTGYGCCGAAGCCGTACCCRTTTTGCCTTGAGGCACGGTGCTGTAGGTGGGATGMGGGGCCGCGGCTACCTTTGGGGCCTATGGGCCTAGCTCAGCGGTATACCCTTGGACTGTTGAAATAYAGACCCRTGCTCGAATCCGGATGGTGGGGTTTGGTYGATGAGGGAGACSAAATATTCTGAGTCGTCTRTTGACCYGGCGAACCGGRYGWYTGTCCTTCGGRACATCCRTTAAAATTGRAACGATACGGAGAAGACTAGCATGACCCGCRCGCAAGAATAACAGGCATAAGTCGGGAAAAGGCTGGCGGGGTGGTRAAAGYCAGCGGGWGGACCCGGACGCGGTTYTGCGYGGGGTGCATGYGCCACRACTCSRAGRTGACGGGCGGAGAGAGGCAGCGGGCAGCGGGTTCGGCCAGGCAGCAYGGAGCAACAGYGGGSGGAACACTTACCTGGCAAYGCTGATRGAAGTGGTCRGAGCGAGGCGGGCAGTAAGGTCGACTGTGCGCAGACARGAGGCAGTGAGGGGTGAGRAACGAAACTGGCGGGGTTTCGGTGCCAGATACGTTTASAAGAAASAGAGGGGGCAGCGAATGACTMCGAACCGGGATTTTTCCRGGGTACTGTCGAAGACTCGGTCTATAGCGACTGYGGGGCRACGMGCTAGCAACAGTGTGAGCWAGGCAAGGCAATGGACCAGAGGGGAACGAAGAAGGGAGAAGTTGCGAGCGGTGAAGGAAACGGGAGAGCGGAGTGTCGGGGAGTGAGCTAGTAGGAAGAAGGTGCGCCGGCCAAAGAGAAGGCAGCGGGCGGCAGACGCAGCACGGGTACTATGCAAACGGCGAGTCGGGCAGAGCTGTGTTAGGCAGCAGCGAGCGGAGAAGGCCACAAGTGCCGAAAAGAGGAGGTGCACTCGGACGCGAATTCACACCAGGTGCATTCGGTATATGGAAGCCGAGATGGCGAGGATGTGGGTTGGGCGCAGCAAGAGGTATGGAGTTCGCCCCATAGAGGACCGATTTGCACGGGGGAAGAAGCGAGCTCGGGGTTTTAGCCTCGGACGAACTTGAATCTGGTGTTAGTTTTAGTGAAAAGTTAGCAGATTAGTTGTTAGAAGAGGAAGAAGGAGCGATGGGCCATGGCGGGATGAGTGATGGTGGAGGGAAGAAGAATCGGACTCCTAACCAATCCGTGTTGAAATCGGGAGGACCAAGGATCGAGATAGGGGTTTTTTTTATAAGACGAGTTCGATGGCAGGGTTAGTTTAGGAGGAGAGTTAGTAGAAAATAAGTTAGCAAGGAACATGACCGCGCGAAGCTATGGCGGAACGAGGAGAACAAAAAGTAGAAAATGGTGTGACCCGCTCGTTTCTGAATGAAATTGGGCGGGGTAAGATCCGAATCGGAGGTCTTCGGGGTGGGCGACTCCGATTCTGAAGACAGAATTGATGATAAGGGAGTAATAGAGAAGTTAGTAGGAGCGGCTGATTAGGGGAAGTCAGTGCGCCGGGAGATGGCGGAAATAAGAAAAGTTAGGCTGGGAAAACACTCAAATTGCTCGATTCCCTACGAAATCTAGCGGGAAGAGACGTAAGTTTGGGGATTTCGGGTATTGCGAGGTTGATGGCGGAGCCCGATTTTCAGTTCGTGCCATGATTCCGCGGGTATAACGAGTATGAGCTGCGCGGGGAGGACACACTTACCTTCACACGGGGCGGCGAATCCTTCCGAGATCTTGTAGAAGATACATGCTGGCTTCGGTCGTACTAGTGGTGGAGGCTGGCAAGGAAGGGATAGGGGGATAGCATGGGACTAGAGCATCTACCTGGCGTATGCTGTCCGGGGGTCTGGTAGCACAGTGTCAGAGTCGGGGGTGCTAGCCTGTATGAGGCTGAACCTGGTCGCAATGATGGCCTGGTACTTTCGCCGCTAGAATAACATCGTAGCGGGATCGGCGTGGATTGCAGATTGTTCGCAGTAAGTTTGCTTGCACCGCGCTGAGGGGACTGGTCGTTCCTTGTCCGTGTATA